AATATTCTGTGTGCTATGAATAATTATTGTACTATTGTGATGTTATGACATTAACAATAAAATACATTATCTGTGTGTGTTGAGCACCATTTTATTGGGCATTACAGGATACTTTGGGTATAAAATGCAAACACAGCCAGGTCAAAACATGTTTACAAGATGAAGCCAAAAGCTGACTTCTTATGGACCTGGTGTGAAGTCTGGCTGTTCCACTTCAGTGCAGTGCTTTCCCCAGTGCACTTACGCTGTTCTCAGCACCATGCAGAGTTAGTGCAACTCCTTTGCTTCTAGGGTGTGAACTAGCTCTGAGCAAGCTGGCTTGGGTGTCTACATCGTACTTCATTGAACCGTGTGGATTTACCCTTTGAGCCTGTTTCAAGACAAGGATTTCAGTCCGTGACTCCCTAATCTTAGATGAATGCCCTGCCCTACTTGCTATTTTTAGGCTTCTCTCTTTTCCCCCCTTCCCTTCTTGTCATAGCATTTTTGAGAGGTCTTGCTTTCTCCTGAGGGTGAATGGGAAAATTCTGAAATCTTAACAATGGTTAGATGTGAGAAATATTCTACAGCAAACTTGTTAGACATTTCACACCTAGTCCTCACGCACTCAAGATAGCTCATTGCATCACGCTCTGCATATGAATTCTTTAAGTGTAGATCATTTGGATTTTCCCACTGTTTCTTACTGCAAAATAGAGCTTGCTTTCCTTCACAAGAGAAAGAAAAATGAAATTCTTTAGGTGTTCCTTGAATCATCCTTGAAACAGAGGAAGAAGTTTTCTCTCAGCCTCTCCAAGGAACAGTTCATCAGTCATACTGAGAGACTGTTTCACTTTACGAAAATTATAAAATTATTAAGGTGGTTTTAGTACCATACACTACAAGTATATTACCTGAAGTAAAATTACTTATCTTTTCATTTGCCACTAATGAAAAAAAAAATAATCTTATTAAACTACAGCTCTTAGAAACTTGAAAATGAAATGTGCTTAATACCGAATTTTCCTTCTCAGCCACCTTCAGACAGCTCTGTTCAAGATAAATGTAACTTTTACAGATATTTAATACCAGATGCACATCGATAATCTAGTCTTTAAAATACTCTTATGTGTGGTTTCATGGGGTTTTTTTGATACATGAACGCACCCGAGATTGGCAGCTCAGGAGCATGTGCTCAGAGCTCCAGTCTGTGTTCAGTTTATACACTCTAGGCACCACAAACATTTATTTTGTTCAGGGTCAGAGGGTCATTGGGATGCTTAGCCAGTGAGTGTTTTTCACTAGGGATAGCTGCAAATAGCACAGAGGGGAAGAAAATCACAGATGAGTGCTCACCAGTAAGGAGGCAATCCCAAAGTTTTCTTTTTCCTATATTAGAATGGAAGCAAGGAGCAAAACCAGCAAACTATTTACACTCCTAAGTCCTTGCAAAAGGAAATCATCTCTTCGCATGAGTTTCACTTATCGCTTTGTTGTTCCCTTTCTCAGGAGTTCCCTTTGCATTACCACAACAAACACAGTCCTTAATACTGCATACCTGCAGTGCTTTTTCCCCATTAGAGAATTGCCCAAGTTGGGGTGAGCATCTTCAGGGATTCTGGCTGTAAACAAGGACTTGAGTGCTGTTACTCAATAAAGCTATGCACTACTCTTCTAACCATGGCCTTAGATTTCTATCCAAATACAGGTTTTGTTAATAAAAAGAAAATGATAGAACTTGTGCTTCTTTAGAAAAGCTTTGAAAACAGGATTAGAGCTCAAAGGGGCAACAAAATAAGAGAAGGAATGGTATTTTTCTGGTCTGGAGTTCGTGATGCAGGGCTAGGGATGGAGAAGGAAGCAGTGCTACCAAATAGCAGTCAGAGGTGAGAGAACAAATGTCCTGCCTGTTGTGCATACAGAGGGATTTTCTCTTATCCCATACACCCTGCTCCTACGAATCTGCTTTTAGGTTAAAGCGTAGGTGTGTCTGCTCAGGAGCAGCTCTTTGAAGAAGCTGTAGGTGTAGCATGTCTGTCATTAATCAGGCTGGAGATCACTCTCAGAGTCATGGAAAATGAAATGAACAGTTAGTCAGCGGGTGAAAAAACAAAGAGTGATTTTTCAAGTCTTCTTACCAGAAGAACAGACACCTTTTGATGATAGCAGCTTTCTTGTTTTCCTTTTTCTGATTCTTAAATTAATTTATTGGATATTCAAAGTCTATTGTAGGCAGTGACTACCATACACAAAAGTATGATTAGATATATATGCTTAGAAGATATATTAAAGATTAAAAAGGTAAGGACATAAGCAGACAAAACCCATAATGATAGTTAGAACAGCTAATAATACTGATCATGAAATATCAGATCATCACTCTAAATTACCAGCTATTACGAATTAATTGGTTATTAAGTGTTACTTAGAGCTCTACTACTATTTTGATGTTGTGAGAATCATTACTGGTTTTCTGGCATAGGAAATTTAACAACTTCTTGCATTGTATTCCTTTCCTTCAGACATATTTATAGCACTGCTGCTCTGCAGAGCATCACTGCTAGAGGTTTGGAAACTTGTAAGACCACTTTTTGGACGCCAGCGAAAAAAGACATGTATTTCAAATGTAAGTGGAGCACACTGATCAAACCATATGAAAATAATCACATAAGAAATCTCTTCAAAATTTCTCTGTTCTACACAAATGTCAAGTCCCCAGGACACGGCTCTATAACAAGAATTAACACTGAACAGACTGGCACAGAAAGAAAACGTTCCTCAGGCTAAGTAGCCTGTTTCCACAAAAAAAGCACTTCCAGTTCACAGGAGCTTTGTGTAAGGGAAGACTCACAATCTCGACAACTTCACACTAAGGAGAGGAACTTGGGGAGCTACATATCGCAACACCTCCTGGTCATCCCCACAGCAACAGTAAAGACAGGAATTTTACTCTGTCACTCTTTCCCATGCACATAACCACAACATCAATTTTGTTTCTTTCTCAGCTCTAGGTGAACAAAATAGCTTTTTTCTTCTTTCTTTGTCCCCAAGTAGAGACACAGGTGCCTGTTCCCTGATGCACATCTCCCTGAATGAGGTCTGACATTTCTTCTCTTCCATGCAGATCATCTAATTATTCCCACAGACTGCTGAAAGACATTGCAGCTACATGCTCTGAGCTGTGTCTCGCAGTGCGCACGCTGGACATCTGCTCCAGCTGACTCCTGACAGCCAGCACCCGTCTGCGGCATAGGGCAGCACTTACGGACAACTGACATGGCACAGAAAGTACAGTCTGCATCACCTTTAAATCTTTAAAGTCAATTCCCAGCATTAAAACCACAGATGCAGTTGCTTCTGCTATTTATGAGCAGGCTGCGTATACATATCTCAAAGCACAATTTAGCCCTTAATAAATTTTCAGCTTTTAGCGTGCAATGACTGTTCAGAATAAATTTACAGAAAACACATCATGTTAATGTTTTCAACTTCCCAGTCAGAATACCCTGCAGTATAAACTATCGTCTGTTTACAGGAACGGAGTAGCTGGTAAGATGTAGCATGTCAGGTAAATATATTAGGAATACTATATGAGAAAAAACCACATTTTTCCTTATTTTCCTTTAAAATATGAAAGCCTTGCAAACACACACTTATTCAAACCTTCATTTCAACTTAGTCATCATAGTGCTTCACTCTCCAGTTCTTTATATGCTGTGAACCTCCAGTGCAGTTGTTTCTAAGGTAACAGACCAGGATGCCTTGTGAAAAAAATGAATCAGATCTTGAATATTCAAGACATCTCCAGTTGCAGAAATGAGAAAAGGGCAGTATCATCTCAACTGAGGGTTCTCAATATCTTTTAGGCCCTGGCCTGATTTACAGACAAGAAAAATATAATCCACCCTAAGGCTGCAGTGTGAGAGTACAGTGGCGTATGCAGCTTCAGGCATGTAGACTGTCAGAAATTTTTAATCAGAGCCATAATTAAGGAATTACAGAGGCTGTTCTCAACAGAGTCTCCCTGCCTCGTTGCAGAGTACACACACACAGAATACAGATGAAGAATGTGTTTGGTAGGATTGTGCCTTCATTCCAACCGCTGACAGCCGCGCAGAAATCTGCCTGTCAGACATGTGATGTGCAAACCAAAAAATACATTAAAAATCAACATGAATCAGCATGTGAAAATAAATGTGTGTACTCCTTCCTTAAGAGACCAAATATGCATTATTTTCATCAAAGAAAACAAATCGGTATCTTTCACAGGTGATTACCTGTGATTACCCATTTTAAGGGAATGGGGTTATTGGGTTTTGTTGAGGTTTTTTTGTGGTTTGTTTATTTTTTTTTAAACTGGCTAGAACTACCTTTTGTTTCTTTCAAAGGCTGTTTTGCTTATTATCTGAGTCTAGAAATCATGTACACATATGAATGCAGGCAAGGTGCGTAGACAGAATATTAACCAAAATATCATGTAAGTTCTACAAAACTTCTCTTACTACAAAAAACCCCTAAATTCCTTGCTTAACAATATCTGACACATGCTTTTATTGATATATGCATTCTGGAATATGCACAAACACACCCATCACCTGTGATAAAATAATCATAAGGTGCTTTTCAAACACCCATCATAATGAGATCTAAAAATCCAATTCATAGAAAAGGATCAGGCTTGATAAAAACCTTCAGAGCTCTATTATTTTCCATGTCATGTATGGGAAAACTGAGACAGAGCAGCCCGGTAGCTTGGGTGTCAGATAAAAGTCACAGTCATACAACTAGACAGGTCGTGACTACTTGTACCTGTCTTCCTGTCTCTGAATCCTGCGCTCTATCTACTGCATTACAAATTATTGCACACTATAAATGCTTGGAATAAAAACTGTTCTGAATATTTACATAGCTTGTTTGGGAACATTCTTCAGTGACCACTCTGCACAAATAAAACATTAACAGTTTTTGGGACTTGTATCATTTAACAAACTGAAAGGTGGACGTATTGATTAGGGTCTTACGTTCTTGGAAAGATGTGAAGAGCATCTGGAATCGGCTATTTCGACTGCCTTCATCTGCCCACATGCGGATTACACCCAGACCTGTCCGCAGCATTACATCATTAGCAACGGTGCTGCAAAACTTTGCTTTCAAATCCTCCACAGCGCTGCTTCCATCATAGACAGCTACAAAATTCCTTTTGCATTCATTGGAATTCTGCATCTCATAGTCCAAGAATCGCAAATAGATCTATGAAACAAGCAAACAACAAACGCAACATGTACAGATATTGAGAATGACTAAACAAACATTAAATACATTTGCTCTACCTTGTGGGAGAAAAACTACACACCACCACCATCAAAATAATTTTTCTGGAGCTCATGATCCATAGGCCACTTCCCTGGAAGGGCATTAATACAGAAACTAGGCACTGTTTATACTTCCAGGTATTTTATCTTGCTTCAAAGTAGAATCTAGTGGAAGATCTAGATATTTTTATTCTTCTTTTCAGTAAGGTCCTAATCTCCAAATATATAGGCATCTTTGAGAATTATATACAACAGACCTTCAAGCTGAAGGACAGACAAGCTAGAAATTTCTTCTTTCACTGGCTGGCACAATATTGCTCTATTACTTGCCTGACATGGAAAATAATAAGGCAAATAATTGCTGCTCCCTCCCCAGAGTCAATATGTGTCATCTTTGTGAGATGTCTCAGCTACACTGATTCAGGAAGTGAGAATCTGGGAGCCAGACAGAACTCAATCATCAATCTTTTTATGTTTCCTCAAGCAACGTGGTCACCATTTCAGCTTTTCTAAACAAAGCCTTATGGTATATATCTTCATAATTTAACAGGGGTGAAATCAAACGTATTTTGTGGAAACTGCTAGAAACCTGGAAAGCTTTTTAGGAAATGTCTCTTGCATACAAGCTAAGTTCTCTCATAAAAGTAATAGATGTATTGCCCTTTGCAAAGAACTCTTTAAATCTACCCAAAAAAGATGCAGGGGTGAGGAAAAAATGCTATTATTTTATATTCAACTCTATATGGACTTTAATAGGAAAACCCCACTCATTTTAAAAGCAACTGATAATACAAGCAACATCAAATATTCCAGTAACAGAGAAGGCAAGTAATATTTTCAATAGACACATGATACATAATCAAACTGCCAAGCGTACCCAGGAGACTTCAGGAGAATGATACAGAAAGGTGAAGTAGGGCAGAAATAACATAAAAAGCCAGTAAATATATCCAGCACCCAGCTATATGCGTGTTCACTTGAAAAAAATAACCAAAAAGAAACTTCACTGTATTAGACATCAGATATACTTCTTTACAAACAATCTTGTTAACTTCAGGTAGTTTTTTACATGCCTGGAACAACTGCTGAAAAAGCTTCTCTGGATTTGCATAAAGTACACAAACACAGCATATCCTAGTAGCAATAGGACTCACCACTTCACCTCATTAATATATTACAGCTCTTATGGTTTGAGAATTATGTGCTATTAAGCAATCTGCCACTGTTTAATAATAGCACGGATTTTTAAAGGAGCCTTTTCAGGTAGTATATTATGGTACCTTTCCATTCCTTGTTACGCTTTGCAACTGGTCTCTCTGAAAAGAATATTTGTAAAAGAATTTTTACTATTATATGAAATTTGGTATACTAAGTTTCATTTTGCTTGCCTCACCTTTTTCTAGTACGTTATTTCTTACAGTAATCTTTACTTATGTTCCAACATTCCCATTCTCCAGAAGAACTCTGAGGAATATATTTCAATTCAGTTGCAGCTAAGTGAGTTCTATTCTCACCATATGTCCTGGCCTTTAAATACTATAAATTAAGGAAGCTGCTTGTATTGATCTCTACAAAATGGAACAGTTAACAGCAATACACAAAGTAATATTCAGATGGCAATATCTTATATCAGGGAATACTTTTTATAGTGTTTTTTGTTTCATTTACTGGTCACTCCACCCCTGCAGTGGAATGAAAAATTGCTAGAGTTCAGTCACCCAGCATTGCTGAAATTGTCTCACAGTATCCACCACTTTTTATAAATGTGTTGTCTTGAAATGTCTTGCTGTTTCCTCTCCTACTGGGGGACATGCAGTTTCCATTCCTGCTAAATCTTTGCTTACTTCCTTGGTGAAGTCATACTTAAAGGCTTGTTTTGAATTCTGAAGATTTCTCGAGTGCAGAAAATGCATTTCTGAAGTTCCTCTGCACTGGCTACATCCCTTTACAAGTCCCTCTTTCATTCTCTGCTCTCTTCCTCCCTTTCCCAGGTGCTCAGGCACCTGACCCTTTATTCCTTCTCATGCTCCAAACCCTTGTTCTTGGTGGTTTCCAGCTATTTAGAGCATTTCTGTCTTGCTGATACCTGACTACCTTAGCCTGTAAGGTAAACCTCATCACTGTGAAACCTTGGCACCCAGCCTCTCATGTGAGGCTGGATAGTCCATAGTCCATCCCTGCATAACGTTTCGCTTACAACAGGGAGTTAAAGGTGCACTTTGCTTTTTTTTCCTCCACTAACAGAAGCAGCCTGCTTCAGATGGGCGCTTCAGTGCTTGCCAACTTTGTCACAGGTAATGCAATAAAAACCTTCTGCAGCTGATTATATGCAATATTGTATACACATGACTGTTTTCCAGAAAGTAAAGCATGTCAGATAAATGTCTCACAGGAAAGCACAGAAGGCTTCTGACATGTTATTGTCATGGATCATTACTTTTATATGCGTATCGTATGTATACCATCTGTATGTTACAATATACCATATATAGATATGATAGACCACACAGATGTAATGCAATGTGCATATGTCATATTTTTATCTTATTCCACTCTTCAGGAAAGCTCTTACCTACTCCAGAAAAAAATTATCTTATTCTGACTGCAGAACGATAGTAAAACTATACTTTACCTAATGGGGGAAAGACCTCTTACACTTCCTCACTTGTTCTCTATTTCTGCCCTGCTCTCTTATATCTCTCTCTCTCTCTCTACATTAATATGTACATATGTATGTGTGTATATGTATATATAAGCACACATATATCTTGTATAGAGTATCCCATTTCAGTACTGAGATGTAATTTATATCCCTTTTCATTCTTACAAGAAATGTGTGCTAATCCTCACTGTGGTTATAAAATACCAGCTCTCACAGCAATTTCCAGCATTCATCAATTATTCCTGATCTGTTCAAACAGATTGTTCGTATAACAGTACAGCCAAAGTCTTATTTCTATGGGCTTATCATTTGACATTCTCTAGTTTCTGGTGGCACGCTAGCCTTATAAAATAATAAGATATTTCTTAGAGCAGCAGTTACAAATGCTGAGAAGGAACCGGGAGAACAATAATTTAGCATTTCAGTTTGAGTCTTTCAGTGAAGAAGCCAACACTTTCAGTTCTTCCCAAGCCTGAATTCTGCTGTTGGTCATACCAGTTCATTCCCGTTGTGGTAAATCCAGCTAAGAACATAATATATATAGACTTGATAGGTACTGGAACCACTGGAAAGAAATATTTGACTTAAAAATCTATGTCCATCCTTCAGAAGAAAGATGGCACCTTCTCCAGTGGCATGAAGTTTCATAAATTAGAGAAAATAAATTCCTGATATTCTGGGGTGAGCTGGAGTTTCATTCTCATAGGCTTCTTTGGAGATGACTATTCCCAGAACTCTATATAAAGTAATGAGGACTTGAGTCAAAGCTCACTGAAATCAGTGGGTATCTTTCCATTTACTCATTTGGATCAGACCTATGGATTAAGACTGCAGTGCATTTTTAAAAACTGGAAACTGATTACACAAAATGACAACCTGATATTGGATCAGATTTTATTTTAAAAAGCTGGAATAATTTAATTGCATCTGCACACCTCTGCCAATTTTTATGGTTTTTACTATATATTTGCCATTGTTCCTGTCACTGGCTGTAAGACCCACACCAGCAGAAGAAAATGACTAATAAATTGAGTTCCCCAGGGAAAGCATAAAACTGATAATATGACGAACTCTTATCTAATGCAAAATGTTCCTGATACATAGTTTTCTGAAATCAGTGGCAATATTCTCATTACTTTCACTGGTATGTGTATCTCACTAAAAGAAATCAAGCACAAAGTGAGAGAAAAAATATCAATATTTCTGTTTATTTCATTTACTGAGATCTTAGTCATTACTTCTATCAGCAGTGGATAAGAAACTTTGCTCCCCCAAAAGAAAACAAGTGAACAAAAAAGAGGTCACAAACTCAAATGCCACCATCTGCCTTCATTAAGCATTTTTCATTGATGCCAATGGGAGCTTTTGGGATGATAAGATTGCCATAGATACTGACACATTATATTAGCATAATCAGGACATTCTTGTTGAAGAGAACATCTTATTTGAAAGAAGCAGCATAACTAACATATCTTCTTCTTTCACATTTTTGTTGCAAAGGTTTAATAAGACACTTTCCTCAAATCATTGGTTCCACATTACTTAGAAGAACAGGTTGCTAGTGCACAAGTATTAGCTTTTACTGAGTTTCGAGATGTCACTGCAAATGCCAACACCATTAGCAACAAAACTGATAAAGCCTCACTGCAACTGTGGCATATATAATTTACACTCAGTCACATTACATTTTAAATAATTGTCTTGTCACCTTTAAGGTTTGTATTGTCATCATAATAATGAAAAAGGAAATGCTGGGTAAGTTTCACTATTTTTTTATTTAAATTTGAAAACAACAGAAATCTCTGACTGCATATATTAGGAAAAAAAAAAAGGATGATTGGAAACTATGAATAATATATCACCTCAGTAAAATGATCAGATCATAATCTCTTCATAGTGAATCACTTTTGATGAGTTCTGCTTTTTAATCAATCACTGAAGGTTAGGGCTGACAACATGATTGATCAGGCCAGTCAGGAAAAGCTTCAAACCATATCCCAGCATATCAGACTTAATATATGTACACAGACATTCAGTCCCTTCAAACCAAACCAAACAAACAAAATGCCATCATTCAACTGCCAAAAGTAATTTAGACGTAAGACAGAAACCTCCTTTTCATCAGGGCCTAACATCCAGATTTCGCACATTCAGCTCCCAGGTTCACTCAATTCTCTTGTAAGCACAGGACTGGGTTAAATGGTCCTATGTCTTTCCCCATTGCTCAGTGATCAGTTACAGTGCCTGCTTTATTCTGCATCTTGTTCAACTCTATG